TGTCTAGCAATGGACCTCTCCGCGGTGCTTCTCTGACTGCACACTTCCGGCGTTCAGGCGTCGTGTCACAATAGTAAATAATTTATCTTCAAAATTTCATAGAATCTAAATTCTTACTCAGGGTGTCGGAACGGTTCCGAATCCCAAAGTACATCCCTCCCCAGTATGCAGAGAGAATATAACTTTCAGTATGTACAGGAAGCCGTAAATGTGCACCATCTGCTTAATATGGAGGCTCTTATTCGGCCCCACAATGGATGATGGAACTTCGAAGCCGTATATGGGAATTAATACAAGTCAATCAAGGTTGAGCAGGCGGGGATTTCCCACTTTTTCTCACAACAGATCACGTGGCAAGCGGCTAATCTTATGGAAATTTTTCAATTAATATTCATGCAAATCTTTTATGAGTCTGGATGTGAAATACGACATTATCGTTGTAAAATTCTATATTCTATCCTCAAACCACTCGAATATTAATAAAAATGTTAAACATGTTAGAGACTGCTGATCGCAAAAAAGGGCTCTCATCTCCCCTCGATCTAAAATCCCTTCTTCCTGCTGGTTCGTAGATCCACATTATTATTCATATCGTCTATAATTTTATTTGTATAATTTTAGTTCATTCAACGAGAGTAATACCTGAGTAACTCCATATAGCCAAGTCCTCCTTGAGAAGCTGTAAGTCACTCAGCTGCTCAAGAATTTCCCACCATTCTGTAGAACCCGAAGTTTAATTACCGTATTCACAAGACCAGTTGGCCAATTTTTCAGTATCTTAATCTTATAAGCAGTCGGTAAGACTCCTTGCACGAGGGATCAGCCCGTCGCAAGGCCGCTGCCTAAACACAGAATAAATGCACACAGACTTTCATGTCTTAAGTGGAAATCGAGCCTACGATCCTAGCGTTCGAGCGAACGAAGACCGCGCGGCCAATATTATCGCCAACATAAAATAACGTAACGTAACCTAATCCCACGAATTTCATGACAGTGACAGTATATGTGTTACCTTACGAGTAAGACGAACAAGGAAAGAAACACAGCTCAAATTTTGTACAGCAGTGCTGCTACTGACCCCGGGCCGCACAATGACCCTGGGGTCGACTCAGCCTCTAACAGAAATGAATACCAGGAATTAATTAAATAATTTTCCTGGGGAGTAAAGCGCGGCCTGCGCGTAAGGCCGACAACCTTACCGCCATCTTTGAGCCGATTGTCTAGAATCTAGGCTCCCACATTATCTAGACTCTAGATAATGTGGGAGCCTCGATGTCTCACAACCGTATGGGCCTTCACGGCTTTACTTTTTTTTTTACATTTATTAGGAATAAATATTAACACAAAATACGGTATTAATATTGGAAATATTTTGTATTACCTTCTCGAATTGTTATGGGTCATTAGGTGGCTTTGCACTGAAGCTACAAGTTCTTACATAATTGGGTTCTGTAATGTAATCACAGCCACTAGCGGATATTAAAGTGTAACTTTCAATAGACATTATGCAATAGTATCATACTAACTACTATTTCTGATCCGTGTAATAGGCCTGATAGCTTCATCGGCCGTTTTTCTCCTGTACCTTTGCATTAGCTTCGTCGTAAATGAGTTTCATTAAATTTTGCATTATAATAACCTGTCATAAGCTGAGTCAACTAGATTGCCAGGTAAATTTTGATTCCAGTTTGGAATACATGAATAGAATTGGTACAGACCAAAGAAGGCAAACGGCTTTGCAGCAGGAAACGAAGTATTCATTCAACAGAAAGTGTTGTTACGAGGTTCCACCACCACCTATGAGTCGATTGTCTAAAAAATGTGGGAGCCTCGACGTCTCACAACCCAATGGGCCTTGATGACCTGTTACACGGATAGCTTTACCTTTACCTTTATTCAAAAAATGGGGGGCGACTGCTGTGATAGAAAGATATGTTTATAACACTGCTACAGAGGGCCAAATGGGCACTGCCTAGGCCTTTTTTGTATATACATGTATTTTTTCAAAATAAAAAAAAATGTAATCTTTGACGGTATGCGAAAGATGTTACTGGTTGCTTACAGATGAAGACATATAAGAAAGAGAACAGATTGGAAATGCGATCAAGATTGATATAACGACATGTACATTGCCGACGCATCGCTTCTTCTTCGGCTAATGCCAATATTCGCAAAGTGCGAGAAAATGTGTCTTTTTTTTAGCTGCCGTCTGCGTAATAAGGGAAGATGGATGGGAGCGCGATGCTGCCACGATTTATATACACGGCGCTGCTTCTCACACTGTTTTTCCACTCCGACGCCTTGCACGAATGCGGTGTGTAACTTCCACCTGCTTACCCACAAATTTGAGTAGAACATTATGAAAGAACGTACATAACCCATCGTTTGCGGCATTTGCTGCCAAGCAAACAGAGCCGCGTCTCCTAACTCTCTGAAGCACGAATCTCTTCCAAACAGCTTTTCATGAATTCAGTTCGTACCTCACAGGAAACACATTACGACTCCACTGTGAACATGGATTGGTTAATGCTGTTTAAGTTGGAAGGGAAACCTGCTCTTTACTCTGAGAATATGAAACACACAAACGCAGCCTTTGGACCAAATGCAGAAGTGTTTTATATAAAAGCGGCTAGTGCTTGTAATAATAAATGTGCTTGAGGAAGCTCTAGAATATGAGAACCGAAACCAATGAAATGATCATCATCATCAGTAATCTGTCAGACGACAGGTCCACAGTCTCTTCCAAAACAGTTCCTCCACTTATTGCGATCTAGAGCTTTCTCCTTCAAATGACAGTATCCTCTTCTGTCTCCAAGGTCATCCAGCATCTTCTTACGTCGTCTTCCTCGTCTTCTTGTCACTTCTATCCGCCCCTCTATCTTTCCTTCAGTAACTTCTTTTAGAAGGCAGTTACTGCGTAAGATATGACCAATCCAATTAGCCTTCCGTTTTCTTATTTCGTGTAGGATATTCCTCTGCTCACTGACTCTAATTAACACTTCTTCATTTCTCACATAATCGGTCCAACTGATCTTCTCCATCCTTCTCCAACACCACATTTCGGAACTTTCCAGATGTTTCTGATCTACTGCCCTAAGTGTCCATGTTTCAGCCCCATACAGAGCTATGCTCCAAATGTAGCATTTCACTAGTTTCTTCCTCAAAGTTAAGTCCAATTTGCTGGTAAAAAGATTCTTCTTCTTGCTAAATGCAGCTTTTGCCATGGCAATCCTGGATTTAATTTCACTAGTACATCTTCCATCATCTGTTAACAAGCTACCCAAATATTTAAAACATTTCACATTCTCCAGTTGAAAACGAAATGAATTAACTAGAAAATGTATGAATGGAGTTAAGTAGTCTGAAATTATTGAATGAATATCTCCATTAAAGGAATACGTTGATTAAAAAGTTCAACTGAGATTGACTGACTGTCTCCATGAAGCTTAGTTCTTGAGAAGCCGTCAGTCGCTCAGCTACTCAAGAATTTCCTAGAACTTTATGACATCCGAAGGTTCATTAGCGCGTTCGCATGAGCTCTCCACTGATTTCAATCCTGAGCCAGATGGACCCAGTCCATACCAGCCCATTCCATTTCTCCAAGATCCAAGTTTAGCTTATTTCCCTTGTTTTGAGAACTAAAAGAAGGCTTATGAGATCACGCTGTTGTCTGTTTATCTATGTATCCGCCCCCTAATTTTTGCTATGACGCTTATGAGATCACCTTGCTGTCTGTGTGTCTGACCTCCCCCAATATTTTCGTTTTCTGTGTGGTCCTTGTAGTATTAAATGAAGTTATGAGATTAGTTCTTCCTTGAGCTTCTTGTAACATTATGCTCCCACCTGTGTCTAGTGTTTTGTAATGGCATCTTTCCTTCTGGCTTTCCAGTCAGTATCCTAAATGCATTCCTCTTCTCCCCATTCGTGCTACATACCCTGCCCGTCTCATCCTCCTTGACTTGATCATTCTAATTACACTTGGTGAAGAGTACAAGTTATGAAGCTCCTCATTATGCAGTTTTCTCCAGCCTCCTGTCACTTCATCTCTCTTCGGTCCAAATATTCTCCTTAACACCCTCAGTCTATGTTCCTCCCTTAACACCATAGCCCTTGACTGCAATTACTAAAACACATGGTTTATTTAACGACGCTGTAATTGGTCGAATGATATGATGATTAATAAAGAAATTAATTCGAGGATAAGGAAAGAAGCTGTCGCGGAAATTAGGGAAAAGTACACGAAATTTTATCGATATCACTGGGTTATTCAATTGACCTAATCCTTCCAGCCGCACTATGGCCTTGGGGTCGACTCAGCCTCTAACGGAAATGTGTACCAGGAATCTTCCTGGGGTGTAAAGAGCGGCCGGTGCGTAAGGCTGACAACCTCACCACCATCTGGGAGCCGATTGTGTAGAGAAAATGTGGCAGCCTCGACGTCTCACAACTCTGTATGCCTCCACGGCCTGTTACACGGATAGTTTTACCTTTACACGAAATATTAGTGAGGATAATCCGGGTCAGGGCCGAGATTCGAAAGGGAGACCTACCGAATACGAGTGTAGAGCCCCTTGCTTGGTGACTGTAATGAAAGAATGACATGATTAGCAGAATGACTCAGTAAGCGAACTAATTAAAAAGTTACATGTGTATTCACGAAATCAAAAGTACTTAAGCGCCACGCCATGAAGACGTCTGGGAATGGAGGTAGAGCTCCATGAATTATTAATTTCTACACTAGATGGAATTGAATGGTTAGATTCAGGCTGCGGCCGCTTTATCTCCGGAGGAACATCCCCGATACCCATTAGATAGGAGGCTGTGTGGGTTCTAGGGCCTGTCTAGGTTCTGTAGAGAAAAGAAAAATATATTGCCCCCTGTTTGTCCCTGAAGGAAATTGAATCCCTCTCGTCCATCGAGTAGTTCAGTCACTATAATGACTGAGCTATTCGTCAACGGAGAATCGCCTTTCTCTGATCGCAGTACTTTTCTTGTTGCAGCCACAATGACCTTCCATGGAACATCAGGAAGTTTGTCCACAATCAGCTTCGAGATTTCAAATTCAACGAAGATCTTCGGTCGGTGGCGCCTTGGTCAAAGAGCGCCTGGTCCCATACAGACCTCCTGAGGCTAAGAAGAGGGATGGTCGGTGGACAGGTAAAGAAGATTTCATAAAGAAAATCTGTCTTTGAATCTTAAAGAGATAGCAATGATAGACATACGCTTAACCCTCTAAGTGCCAAGTGTCGAAAATTTCGATCTTTACCAATCCGTTATATCTGGTAGTATGTGGCATCTACTGGCACTTTATTTAAATGCATATTCGAGAAAATTTCTGAGGGTTTTTCCTCATATTCTGAGTTCCAACGGATTTTCATATGCATATATTTGGCCATGAAATAAGAGCAGGAACAGAAGAAGAAGAATTCGTTTAGTCAGTTAATTTTGTTATTATAATTAACTACTGCATATTTCCTCATGCCCACTTAGACAGCAGTTTAGTTTTTTCATGGCGTTTAATAGGAAACGCGCGGTACTGTAGTTGGTTGAGGCACTATGATACAAGCCGGAAGGTCGCGGGTTCGTTTCCCGATGAGGTCACTGGATTTTTCAGTTGGCCTAATCCTTCCAGCCGCACTATGGCCCAAGGGTCGACTCAGTCTAACAGAAATGAGTACAAGGAATCTTCCTGAGAGTAAAGGACGGCCGGCGTGTAAGGCTAACAACCTCACCGCCATCCGTGAGCTGATTGTCTAGAAAATGTAGGAGCCTCGACGTCTCACAACCCTATGGACCTCCACGGTCTATTACAGGGATAGCTTTACCTTCTTTACTATAGTTTAAGAGGCATTATTTGTTTTTCCATGCATTATGGACCAAGTTGTTTTTGCATTTGTTCGCAGTTCTGGGCGGCCTACGTTCCCTGTGAGTCTCAACATCTGAACGCCGTTCAACTGACACTCGAACAAATTGATCTCATCAAACGCCTTATCGACAAGTACGAAGAACATCTGCAGTTTGCCTCCTCCGCCAATGGTAACATTCATCTGCATCACCTCTCATCTCTTAGAGCACATACATATTGCATACAGAGTGTCCCAGGAGGAAACGTCGATATTCTGGGAGGCCATAGTATCGGTCATTCTAAGCAAAAAGTGTATATGTGCATGTGCCCTATTCCGAACGGTTTCCGAGATAGAGCAACACGCCATGTCCTCACACGAGTTGCAAAGTGCACGGATGTTGACGGTGGAATTTTCGGAAATGTATTGTACTAGGTAAACTTACCAACTTTGTCACTTGAACAAGAAATACGGGTATTAGAAACAGCACGTAATATCTCTTTCTTATCAACAGTTTTGGAACCGTACAGTGAAATAGCTCTATCTTGGAAACCGTTCGGAAAGGCACAATAGATCACTGTGGTCGCGGTGCAAGGGCCAAAAACACCCACCCCTTATACATTCATTCATTCATTCAAACCGTTCGGAATAGAACACGTGTTCATATACAGTCTTTTTGCTTAGAATGACCGATACTATAAACTCCTAGAATATTAATCTTTCTCCTGTGACATCCTTTATATTGACAGTGTTGGATATGAGGTTCTCACGGCTGCTAGTATGAGTATTGGTTCACTCAGGGCACGGTCCCGGGACTCCCTCTCCCTCCCTCCCTCTCTCTCTATCTCTATCTATCTATCTATTAGTACAATTTTACCCCGCGTTCTTTATTTAAAAAAAAATACAAGACGTTCTTGGAACAACTAACCACTTACTTTCCTTGGCATGACAAGGACAGCATATAAAACTTCGCGTCCAACAATTCGTATATTGTTTGTGTATTCGTTGCAGCGGTAACTTTTTTACCAAGCCGTTGCCTAGCAACGATAGGGAAATATACATACAGACACACATACTGACGGGAGGGATTTATGAAGTACGCCGCTGATATTGGCTCAGGTGCCATGATATATCAGTTTTGTAAAGACTGGTTCAGGCATTCAAAATGTAAGGAAGGGGGTGTACAGATGCACAGACAACTTGTTGCATAAGGCTAATTTCATATTTTAAAATAAAATAGGCTACAAAGCGGGCTTATGCGATCACCGTGCTCTTTGTATATGTGTGTGTGTATGTGTGTCGGTCCGTGTACCCGCACTATTAACTTGTGAATGTCTGAACCAATTTTGTAGAACTTAGGTGATTATATCGTGGCACCTGAGCCCATCCCAACATAATAATTCATAAATCCCCTCCCCCATAAATCTGTGTGTATTTAAGTGTATATTCTACCGTTGCTAGGCAACGGATACGTTAAAGAACGTTACGAATACACATCTAAAAATAGAATAACTGTTGGACGAATCGTTTTCTATGCGGGCCGTGTCGTATCAAAGGAAGTAGGCGATTATTTCTTCCCTGAACTTGTTATTTCATTCTGGACTTATTATCCCAAACTGCGGGCTGAGACAATATGTCTCGCCGAAACGTTGCTAGCGATCTACAACATTACACACCTTCACATCGCAAAAAGTGAGTGTTCGTATCTTGAGAAGGTCTGTTGTCGTCAGTTCTGGGAACAGAAAGAAAGAAAAGACTGAAGAAACAACGAAATAAAAACACGGAGAAGCAACCAGCAAAACAAAATAAAGTAAAGCGAAAGAAATGCGGAGGAATGAAACAAGCAAACCTACGAACAAAGAATGCAAAGAAGTTGAAAGGAAAATAGAGTACACTCACAAAGGTGTAGGGGCTGAAAGAAACGTAGCGGTGAATCTCTGAGCAGGGCCACCTGCTGTCCTCCAGCAGTTCACGAAGGAGTAGAATAGTGATTTCTTTCAGTCTGTTATGGGCAGGCAAGGCATGTAGCACGCATGTAAGAGAAGAAGAATAACAAAAGGTTTGGCAGGAAGGCCACAAGGAACGAGACCACTAGAAAGTTCGTAGGAGGATAGTATTGAAATTGATCTCAAGATGTAGGATGGTATGCACTGGATTCATCTGGCTCAAGATAGGGTCCAATGGAGGGCTCTGGTGAACATGGTATTTAACGCTTGGGTTCCGTAAACTGTTAGGAAAATTTTGAGTAGTTGAACGATTGGTGGCTTTTCAAGAAGGGCTCAGCTCCATGGAGTTTGCGCCGTTTCTATTTATTGAGTATTTACTATATTCTGATTTGCATACGTGTAGTGTACTAGATAAAGGAGACGATTTACGATTGAATATTTGTGCTTGTTATTCGTGGGAAATGACGTTAAACGTCGTCCTTGTCGAATCGTTCGATAACATGTAGTAGTTGAAAGGAATATGGGAGAAATTAGAGTAAGTTAATGGTATGAAAGCTTACATAACAAATGATTAGATATCCCGTTGAATTGTCAACGGGTGCTACCTTATTAAGTTTACATAAAAAACTAAAGTAAAGCTATCCCTGTAACAGGCCGTGAAGGCCCATAGGGTTATGAGATGTTGAGGCTCCCACATTATCTAGACAATCGGCTCAAAGATGGCAGTAAGGTTGTCAGCCTTACGCGCCGGCCGCGTTTTACTCCCCAGGAAAATTATTTATTTAATTCCTGGTACTCTTTTCTGTTAGAGGCTGTGTGAACCCCAGGGCCATAGTGCGGCTGGAAGGATTAGTCAATTTAAAGATACAATGGCCTCATCGGGACTTGAACCCGCGACCTTCCGGCTTGTAGCATAGCCCCTCAACCAACTACGCTACCGCATAGAATAATAATGCGCTAGACAGAGGCCGGGAGGTTTAGGAAAAAGCAGTGATCAAAATGATTGATTTAAAAGATCAATAATCTTAACTTATAAACGAGATATTCCAACTTTTATAATATTGACAATCGATTGAAGTTACTGTCGATATATATCAATTTTTTTTATTGCTAGTGGGGTGGGACTAAGTCCCTTGTACTGCGGCCACTTCTGGCCTATTGTACCAGCCCCCAGATGATAGGTGAGGGTGATTGTGGAGCAATTGGTGGAATGAAGATTGGCAGGGGAAACCGAAGTACTAGGAGAAAACTTGCCCCAGCGCCACTTTGTCCACCACAAATCCCACTTGACCAGACCCGGGACCGAACCCAGGCCTCAGCGGTGGGAAGCCAGTGACTAACCGTTTGAGCTAGGGCGCGGCCATATATATCGATAATCAGAGTATCTACAGGCAGTTCGCTACATCTGGAAATTGAATCTGAATATTTTAATTCGACCTTTAATGATGTCAATAATATTAATATTTGAAAAGTAACGTTGATTTGTATGTTGCATTAAAGAGAATCACAACTGTGCTGCGTGGTGATGTATTATGAATGAGATTATTCAGTGGAACTGAAACCACCGTATGTCCCGCAGTTCGAAGAGATGAGTGAAAATTAATCTCACCGAATCGGTATGCCGTGTCCCAATCTAAACAACTTACTATGTCGCTATATATCAGATAAATATGGCAAAGTTAACTAAATTCGTGGAAGGTATGACTGAGGAAAAGCACGAAAGACCTCAATTAGGGTAACCGGTCTTCGAGCCACGGTTCTTAAAAAAAACACAGCCACCCTGACTGAGGTCTTCTGAAATATTCCACAGTCTCCCTAGGAAAATACAGAAATGGTACCTCAAATTAGGCTTCGACCACTTCCTTTCATTTTGTCACATTTCCCTCCGTAAACAGGAAATGTTCCTTTGTGAATATCTTCAGCATTGAGTTCCTTCGCCCACAAAATAAACGCACAAGAGGACGTTACACTTCGGCAGTACATTCCTCAAGCACGATCGCCATTTTGACTACTGAAACCAGCCTCTGTACATGAGCATGCGCCTCAGCTATCTAGACTGTCATGAAGCTGGACTGTGCTGCTGTCTAGTGATGTCCCTATGCTTAACTAATTAAGCACTACACCATGAAGACGCATGGGGGAGTGGATGTATATATCCACATTTTCTTGATATCGGAACTAGTTGGAGGTGAATGGTGAGCTACACGCCCCGGCCGCTTTACCCCGGGGAAAGAGCCTCCGGTACCCATTGGATAGGAGGCAGGGTGGGCCCCAGTGCCGGTCTGGACGACGTGGAGAAAAGAAAATTCATGACTCTACCGGGACTCGTCCAATCCGTAGCCAGTCGCTATACCGACTGAGCTACCCTGGCTCCTTCCTGTCTTGTGATACACATATAAAACCTATTACATGCTTTACACCTGTTTGGCTTCCATTTGTGACTCATCTACTGACTGTCCCTCGTACCAAAAATTTCGAGCAAATGCGTGTTCCGGTTTATAAATCTTAGTTCACAAGTTAGTTGCATACTCGTATTTCTTTAACTGATTATCCGGAGTTTCCGCTTATCGTGGTTAAGTTTATGTCCCGCCCATCGAGATGTACTTAGAGGTACTTAGATTCTCTTCAGCCCAGCAGACAACGGGGTTCGCCTTTCCAGCTCCTGCCATTCACGCGGCATACAAAACAGTTTCATTTCTGTAACATGTCACGCCCTAGATTCGTAATGGGGAGCTCCTCTATTCGAATCTCGGACAGGATACCAGCTATCCAAACTGACTGTTAGCACTTCCTCAGGTTGGTTTCTCACTCGCGGAGTTTCTTCTTTTTTCTTGTACCCTGAAGATGGAGGCGATACGTTCTTCCGAAACGTCGGTTAACTCAATATCTACACGGCCCCACGTCCCAGAAGACTGCTTTCTTCAGGCAGATTCTTGTTTCGTACACATCCGTTACCGATTTGCTGATGACAAGTGAATACATCATTTGCTTTAATATCGACCATGTTTTTGTTTTCGGTTTTCTGTTTAGTTTGTGGAGGGAGGGAACGAAAATAGAAGTAGTGTAAATGTGAATAAGGGCCGAGCATGCGATGTATTTCATACCGTTTAAATATTTACAATTGATTAAATATAAAACCCGCTAATTATAATATTTCTGCTCATCAATGCTTGTGCACTGACGAAGAGGCTTATGCGATCACCATGCTGCATGTGTGTGTATATCCTGCCATTAACTTTTGAATGTCTGAACAAATCTTTATTAAACTTGGTGTTTGTAACATGGCATCTGAGCCCGTATCAGCCGCGTACTTTATAAATCCCTCCCACCAATCTCTGCGTCAGTATCTCTCCTATCGTTGCTACGCAACGGCTCGATAAGGAAACGTTATCGCGGCAACGAATACATACGCAACAATAGAACAGTGCGATCCGTATCATATAAAAGAACATTACGCGATTAGTTCTTTACCAGGAATTCTTGTTAGCCTATTTGCCTACTTTTGAAAATAAATAAAAGTAGGCTTATGCGATCGTTATGCTGTCTGTGTTAATCACATGTATTTCAGCTGTAACGATTATGGCTTTGATGCGGCAGGACTTCCGTTGCTAATGCCCTTTTCGAGAACGGTTGCCGTTATTGGTATCAATTACTGTCTGTTTCTGTCCTTTCAGAGTAAAATAGCGGTTTAGCACATTAAAATAGGCCACGACGGCCTCATTCACGGCGTACGTTAATTTCGTTAATCTGAACCTCACCTGATTCCGCGCTAAATAAGGCTTAGATTGAAGAATGCCCGTCTTCTGGAACGTGGCGCCGTGCAGATTGTGTGAACCGACGTTCCTCCGAAACGTCGGTTGACACAATATCTACGCGGCGCCACATCCCAGAAGACGGCATGCTTCATAGTCACCGCCGTGAATACCTCAAACCTTACGTAAGGTTTAGATTTGTTACCACGTCGTCATAAGCCTTACACATCAGTTCTTTGGAAGG